GCTCCTCCTTGTAGTTTGGTCTGGACCCATCCAGCTGAGGCATGCTCGTAGACATCATCGTTGTTCATCTGGAAGATAGGAATTAGTTAGTTACCTGGACATACAGATTATGTAATAGGCAAAACCATTTGGTAGCATGTAAACATAATTTGTAGGAGAGTTGTATGTGACCACACCAGAATACTTCCATCTTTCCGTTGTTCTTTTTTCTTTAATTCTTCCTGAAGTTACCGTAACACTCTGATATTGAGTGTTAAATGTTTTTGTGGAGAAATGAAAGAAAACGATGGGGCTTCACTGAGCTCCATTTTAACCACAAAGACTTAAAACGGCAATTAGAGTATATCAGAGACATAGAAGTTATTTATTCACCTCTTTGTATTTATTGCGAGCCCTCCTCCTGAAGGCTGGGGGACCTCCTGCTGCTGCTTCAGGCCACCGTGCCACGACACTGATTTGTACACTGATAAAGCTTTTAAGACTATAAATCAACACACTTACCGTAAATAAAACGATAAAATAAATGTAAAAGTGATCTTACCTGCTCGGTGATTATCTTACCGGGTGGGCGACGCCTACAGCAGGTGGTCCACTGAGGGTCGTCTTCCGTCTCTTCGGTTCTCCACAAGTAGCTGATGAATCAGTAGTTTCGTTTTCCAACAAAATCCCTTTTCCAGTAGATTATAACTCCAAGAGTTGTCTTCCACAGAAAGCTCTTGCAAAAGGTCAACTCGTCTCCAAATTCAGATGCAAAGTGAGAATCTGAGGTCGGCTCGAATGTTTATAGAGTCAGTGGCGCCGTTTCCATGACATTTACTGACGTACGTTCGTTGTCGAACACCCGAAAGCAACAGAAACTTTACGTTCTATTAAAAAATCACATATTTGTTAATATATTTCAGTAGTTTTTATACATATATATATATATATATATTTGTGAACAGAGACCAAGTTTTAACACGTCAAGCACTTATACATATCCCTTACTTTTAATTAGAAGAATAAGAGCAATATAGTGTCATTCTGGCTTTTTACTTTGAGTTGCTCTTCACGTAGCAGCTCTGATTTCTGATGGTTGATTAGATTGGTCCTAGAGGGCACGTGACCTAAAGGCTCAGTGGGTACCAGGGCATCTGTGTGCAGTGACTCATATTATTTATTGTGGGAGGGTCAAAGGGCTCATAAAAAAGTCCTTTAGAGAAACAGCACCCGTGTCCATCTTATTATCCGTCCTAGCAAATATCACACACATGTAAGAAATGAAGAATGCTCTCTGTTATCTGTAACCTTATCAGAAAGTTCCCTCAAAGACCTTCAGTCATTTGTCCGGAGAATAAATCTGCATATAGATTTCAGAAGGTTTGGCCTGCCCTACATATGTCAACATATCCGGGATGTTTCCTGTGATGTTCAACACATTTACAGGTTGAACTTTAGAGTTCACTTTGGACAATGTGTTCAATTGACCACCAGGGGGTGCAACATACAAAGATCTGAAACTTGAAATGTCCAAAGGTGGTTTAATCTTTCAGAATGAATCTTTCTGTTTTATATGATGTAGTGAATGATTTAAGTGGATCATAAGGAGAAAAAATAACATAAATAGAAGGAAGTCTAAGACTATAAATGATAAATTGTAGATGCACATTACCATACAGTAGAGAATTACCGTACGATATGTAAATTGGGGAAATGGATAGTTGGGGTTTTTAATCCTCATATGCTTCATATCTAAACTATTTCATATCTTATGTTTTGGTTTCTTGTAAACCACTTGATAACTTGGTTTTAAAAGTTGCTGTATAAATAGTTATTCAATCAGCATCATCTCACAATACAATGATATGAACATGTTATGTTGTAGTATTTTGTTTTATAGCTATGTTATTGTGTCTCTATACAGCGGGTCATTAAAACCACCCAGAACATCATTGGCACCCATCTACTGTAATAAAGTCATTATTATTATTACTGCTCATCAGTGGTATTGGTGAGAAGAGGAGCCTGCAAAGATCTCAAATGATAATAAAAGACAAAACCCACCGAGCCTCAACCTGTTCACCCTGCTGCCGCCTGGAGAGAGATACGGAAGTATCAGCTGCCGAACCACCAGACTTCAAAACAGCTTCTTTTCTCTGACTGCGAGACTCCTCAATTCCTCCTCCACCCTCCAGATATTATAGTTTTTGTTGTTTGTTTTCTTTCCCGTGTATCAATTTGGGAGTACAATCTAAATGTTGTTGTGTAACCCTGTCGTACGATGACAAATAAAATCCGTGTAACCTTATAGATTCATTGTTTCCACAGAGACAGGTTTATTGAAACAGACGGACACAAAGTGAGAGTGTTTTGGTAACTTTTATTTTACAAAAAAAAAAAAAAAAAAAGGGGAAAAAAGTTCACATCGACATTTAGTCTCAATATTACAGTATATTGAAATTCTTCTCCACGGAAGTAAAATACAACATTTTTTATTTCATTTTAATCTTATATTAAAAATATCAAATAGTACTCATCTAGCAGTGCTTACAGTATTTTAAGATATGTCGCAGGCTTGATGGCAGAAAGGTTGGCCGGTCTTAGCGAGAGCCTTGCAGAGACGACCTACCTTTGTGTTACCTGGCCTGGTTTGATTGACAAGCTGAACATGCAATGAGGGCAACTACACAAATCAAGTCTATAGATTATAACGGTGCAGTAAGACACTTGGAACGGGCTTGCAATGAAACAACGAGAAAAAAAAACAAGCTAAATGTTCCATTTCGTGTGTTTTCCCCCCTAACAACCCTCATGTCACAGAGTGCCCTTTCTCCTCTACAAAGTGAGCTGAAATGAACTGCCAGACTTCCTGTTGATCTTATTTTTCTTCTTCTCAGTACAGCTTACCAACCATGGACATGGCGAATAAGAAAATCAGCCTAAAAATAACATCACTACCTGAATAAACTTCAAAAAACAGACTCCTTAGAGCATTTCTCTAGTTGCACAGAACTGTACAGGCACACATATCATATATATTTAAAATAAATAGGGATCATTTGGCCTAGACTCAGTGGGGAGGGCGGTTCTCTCTTGCTTGTCAGCACAGAGAGGCACATCACCAGCCATTTATCAGGATGGCTTCCCAGCCACTTCTAAACATCACAAGTTCTCATAGTCCCTTAAACACTCACTCACTCAAATAGAACCACATCGTCGCTCACCGCTCAGCCCCCCCCCCCGTCCTCCTCCGCCACATGCATGAAGCCAGAAAGACAGAAACAGGAAACAAAACAGCTGTTGAACAGAATTATTAAACGTATAAATGCCATTTTTTCTGGAATGCCTCTGATCGGAAATAAAAGAAGAAGAAGCTGGAGGCTGAGTCGCCTGGTTTCTGAGATCAACACGGCTTTGATCCTGTGCCACCGCGCCGGGCCGTGGGCCCCCGTGGCCCCTCGATCTTTCCCCCACGCGGTTCAAGAATGCCTTGTCGTCTTGACGGTGGGAGGCGCCCGGCGGCTCTGCTCTCTTCACATTACAAACAGGACGTGACATGTGACGAGTAGACGACCCGGGAAATCTCCATCACCACCTCCATCAAGCTCGGCTACATCTCTTTTCAGGATTGGGGGGGATGTGAGGGTGAGGTGGGGGTGCAGGGAGGAGGGATGTGTGTGTGTGCGTGTGTGTGTGTGTGTGTGTGTGTGTGTGGGGGGGCTGTACAGTCGAGATGAGCCGCCTGCCGGGAGGAGAGGTGAGGCAGGAGGACCGAGCGGCGAGCACCGGGGTTTGAACGGAGTCTCTCACTCTCTCCTCTCCAGACGGCACCCTGAGGGAGGTGGGTGGGGCTTAAACGTCAGTGGAAAAGTAGAGCGTGTTGCGCTTCAGTTCAGCAAAGGAGATGGGAGGATGCTGCAGGTAATACAGCAGCACCTGGACCTGGGAAGAGAGAAAACAAGTTGGTTGGATTAGAAATTGCTTTTATTTCAGTCCAAGTTGGCCGTTACTATCGAGGTTCTCCAAGTCTGACTCTGTCTAATGCTCCCCCATTAAATCAGTCTCATCAGACGGACATTCAGGTGCTAGCAGGTAACTGAATTTAAAATATGTATTTTACTCCGAGGTGTATTTTGAGAGTCGGTGGACTTGATTGTATCCTCTTAAACATGTCCAGGAATGTCTTTATTATTGCTGGATTGGTTCTTTTAATAACAAGAGAGAGAATCCATCATGTCCCCATTATGAGATTATATTCAGGATAAAGCAGCGGAAGCATCTTTCTTTGGTGTTTGACATTTTGTGTATTTACGAAATAAACATTTAGAATTTAAAGAAGCCCCAATACAAACACTCGGCTTCACTGTAATGGACAGACAGGGCCTCCTGCATGCGGACACATTTATGATGATTTATTATGGATGTTGTTTATTCTGACAAGGAAAGACATTTGTGCACAGGAAACTGATATCTCAGTAGGGATGAAGGAATGGCCTGCAGCCTAAATACAGCTGGGAGAGTACAGCGCAGCCACATGGGTCACTTAGCGACGTGGGAGTAAAAAAAATCATCCAGAAAAACATCTGAACGCTACGCACCAGCACACCATCTACTGCGTAAAATCAAACTGCGTCTGCGTGACGGTACCTGCGCCATCACGTCATGTGACCAGATGTCAGAGGCGGAGGTGATTTGCTGTCCCTTTGTGATCTCCGCCTCTGAGGGCCTGAGCAGAGTGGGGCCAAACACGGTGCCCAGGTTATGGAGGGACATCTTGTTGATGGGCTCCTTCTCAGCCACCCTGCAGGAACACACACACACACACACACACACACACACACACACAGACACACACAGACCCGTCAGTCACGGAGGACGCGGTTCAGACAGCCAGGGGTTTCATGTGGTCAAAGGCGCTCATTGCAAAGGTAGACAGAAGCTGCACAGTGGACAATAAGTGGAGGACTTTTTGGGTTGTGCTGGGAAGCTTTCGGGTGTGAATGTGAAGATTTAAAAGACTGTGTTGAGCTGAAGATTTAAATGAACGGCTTCTTTTTATTCTTACACCCATCAATCGTCATGTGGACGATCAAGACATGTGGTCTAAATGTGTGTGTGTGTGTACCGTTTGAGGTGCTCCAGCAGAGGGAGGAAGGTCATGAGGTTGGGGTCGGGCAGGGAGCGTAGGAGGTGCATCATGCAGTTCTCCTTGGCTGCCGGGTCTGAGAGCGCTGCGAGGGAAAAAAAAAAATATGTCAGATCTAATTACGGCAAAACTGCTCTTTAACTTTAGCCCTTCATTTCTTCCAGCTCGGCTGAACTGGATGACAAACACACACTTCCGGGGGCCTAAAGGTCGCACCTATGCCCTCCATGAAGGCGGGGTAGAGGCGGTCGGTGAGCAGAGGCTCCGGCAGCTCCCTGAAGTACAGCTTCAGTGTTCCTGCGATGGCGTTGATGTCCATGTCGCTCAGCATCACCAAGATGTCTTTGGTATCTGCAGGTCGGACGCAGACAGAGATTAGAAAGCGAACACGCTGCATTATTACAGGCGAACAAAAGCACAGCTGCCATCCTCCTGCAGTAACCCCACATGATGGGATTTTGCTGGTTAATAATCTGTTGCTACGCCAGAGTGCTGGTTAGTTCTCTGGTCGTGATGGTGAGATGAGGCAGTGAGCGGGGTCTTACTGGCGTCGAATGCTGTTTTGAGGGCCTGGATATCAGTGGCCACCCCTGAGATCCTGTAGATTCCCACTTCGTCGATCCCCCTCTTCTCCACTTCCTCAATGCACTGACGGACGATGTAAGGCACCTTGGAGCGCTCGCGCCTGTGGACGAGAGCATGAGTTACACCCATGTGACCTTTCTGATGATGTTCAGGGAAGTTTACAGATCTACCATTGAGGAGATGAAAACAACTCTGGGCCTTTTTGTTGTCCGTATTCAAGAGGAATTGTGTATTTGACAGCGCAAATGTACAACAGTGAATGTGTGGGAACATTTTTGGACTCAATTGCCAAAACATACTTACTTTGTCACCACGTTGATTTTGACTCCAAACACCCCACTCTGTTTTTTGGACGGCGTTCTCTTCAAGCTGAGGTCCCGACTTGTAAACTTCATGGAGAATTCCACTTTGATCTGACGATGAACAAACAACACAGCTGAAGGAAACTGCATCGCTCCGAGGACCCTCACGAGCCACTTCTCTGACTTTGTTTGCATTGAGAGGTTTTGACTTTGAATATATATTTAATATCCAACGTCTTCAAGCTAAACATTTGGATTCTATTGTAAACATTACAGCCAAACAGATGTGTTATCAAACTATTTTGTGCCAATTAAATTCTTCTTTTAAAAATCTGCTCGTACACACATTGCTGTACTAGAGGATCCTAAATCTCACTTTGACTTCCTGCAGGGATGTCAGAAGATACCGACCAGTGAGTAAAAACTCGCATTGCCTTTTTTGCCAAACACAACACATCTCATTATAATATATAATCATCCTAGTGTGAGCTAGAGTGTAGTTGCTTGTGTCTTACCCCGTTCATCTCGATGACGTCCATGTGCCAGTTCTTGGACTGCACAGTCTGAGGATCCAGCTGAAAGACATTAGGTGATAGGATTTGGACCAAAGAAGGACGCATGATCTCATTCACACAGGGAGTAATACAAAAAATCATCAGATGACAACAATCAAAAGTCACTACCTGCACATTTCAACACAAAGGAAACAGTTTGCATGACAGGCTTTCCTCTGGGGTTAAGCGACAAAAACTTATTCTACTTAAAGAAAAAAAGGAAGCCAGAAACAAAAAAGGCTGTTCCAGCCCAGTTTTAAAGCTGCAACTGACAAAGGCGAGGCGAGGCGAGGCACCTTGAAACTGTGATTAACATCCACTTTGACCGGAGTTCACCTTTTAGCTGCTCCATTTCTCTAACCAGATCAAAGTCAGCCTGTCCCCAGATACTGCTGCTTTACAACAACACAGTCACGAAGTCTACTTTAGGCAAAGTCTGGATCACACGTCCCATGATGCCCTCTGAGACATGATGTTGTTGTTTTAAGTCTCCTGGAGCGCGTGTGCGAGGCCACAACGGCTAATGCCTTTTTTAATAGGCTGTTTGCACTACACACAGCTATGCGATTACAACCCTGCGCACTGGTGTGCTCGACTTAGAGGAAAGTGATGAGTGTTGGATGAGCACGAGGGCAGCACACTTCTCTTATCGTCAGCATTAGGCTGCGACCATTAAGAGTTCTCAGTGAGAGTACTTCGTTACCTCGTAAAAAGGCCATTTGGCATCGGTTTCACGCATTCCTATTATCGTTAAAGCCTGTTCTCCCAGTAGGCTTTGGGGTTTGAGACGAGGGACAGGTAATCACTGCAACCGGGTCTTTACACCGCTACTGCCAAGAAGAGAACCGGGCAGAGATCCAGGACTCACTGCTGACGCCTCCCGTGACCCCTCCAAGTAGACTCACTGAGAAAACTAAGACTGTTCCCTCCGTCCCATTTCCCTCCCATTACTCTGCTAATTTAAACATGAATGCACTGCTGGGCTGTAAAAACAAAGAGGGCCCTTTACAGGCAGGGGTTACACTCATTGACCCCTCTGGAAGATAAATCCTCTACTGGGCTCTTTTTTATAAAAAATAAAAAATAAAATACTTTTTCATTTCCTGGCAAATTAGTTGTTTTAATGGGATGACCACACACACAGTTTGGCTAAAGAGGCCTCCGCAGAACTCAGACTGACTTAGTTTATGCTAAATATTACACTCAGAATTAGGAAGGAAATGTCAGGAGAAGGGTCGCATGACGAGAGACAGCTTTCTTGGAAATGAATTGGGACTCGACGTGGAATGTGTCCAGTCGGCTGGTTTGAACAAACGCGGAGAGAGTAATCCTGAGTGACAGCAGGAAGAGGGCAGCAGGTAACACAGCAGGGACTAAATCTGACTGAAGGTGGACAGTGTGGACATGGTAGGAAATGACACAAAGAAATGAAGGTACAGTATACTACAAGACTGCTAAGAATACATTTTAAAGCTTCACTTCTTGTTTATTTACTGTGTTTTAAAGCTTTTTTGGGGGCATTTTTCACCTTTAAATCGACAGATGACAGCGTCGAGGCAGACTGGAAGGGGGGGGTAGATTGACCCCCTTGTCCAGATAACTGATCCAGCTATTTGAGTCAGTATCGGCCTGATGTCTGATATCGATGCATCCCTAGCATGTGCAGTAACCATTCGACTACCAAGGCTATTTATTGTCTATTCAGTCCTTTTAAAGGACCCGCAGAAGGCAAACCAGCACAGCTTAAGTCCCCTTTCATCTCACTCCAAAAAGATGAGAAGTGCAATGACTGATTTCCATTCATAGGATGCTTGAAGGGGATTTTGAACACATGAGCATCTAATATATACTGTGTGTGTGCAATCCAGTATTTTTTTTTTCTTTTTCTATTTAGAGACCCCCTCAGCCTAATGTGGCTCGGATTAGGATCACATCTCACCAGTGGCAAAGCTCTCTTTGTGGGACCGTGAAAACTGTCAATGCCTGAGAGGACAGAACGGGCTGCAGCCTCGAGCAGAGAAATACTTCAAATAGCGGACCGCTGCACACACATGGATTTGTATCGATTCCGGTCGAGGAACACACTTCAAGCTTTTTCCGCATAGAGAATGCAATAAATATGTGTGTCGTTCTGTTATATGGAAACTCATTGTTCTGTGAGCAGCTCACACTGTATGTCTGCAGCAGGTTTGGGGATCAACTGGTTACCGTGCTGCCCATTTACTTTCTCTCAACACTCTGTAGGGCCTTCTAAACCCAACTCCTGTATGCTCACACACACGCACACGTAGGTCTTTGGTGTGTTTGAGCAACAGGAGGCATGTGGCTGCCATGAGACACGGCCCACCTTTCGGCCCTGTTCTGTAGGAAATTGATGGTTGGTTTCAGTATCTTTCCCTTCAAGCAGAACAGAATATATCACGAGCACGAGGCTTGGCTTCAAAGCCGCTATCCAGGACGTTCAGCCTGTACTCTGCCCCGGCTGATCTACAGGGACAGAACAAAAGCAGATAAGATAAGCCCTGCTGTTCAGCTGCCACATGGTGAACAGGAGAACAGGAAGTGGCTTCAGTTCTCTGTATAAGGATTCATAGAGCGGTGATGTGGCGATACGGCCTTTTTGTTGACCATTTAATCCCTGCATAGAACAAAGAGCAACGCTGTTCACACACAACCAACAGCAAACTCTGCTCCTGGACTTATGTTCCTCAAAAATAAATATAAGAGCTGCTGTCTTTAGAATAAAAAGGTGCTGTTCCTGCCCAGTTTCGAACTGAGGACCTTTCGCGTGTTAGGCGAACGTGATAACCACTACACTACAGGAACTGGCTGACACTGCCCCCCCTACTGAGCAAACATAATCCTGTACAGACATGTGACGTGGACTTCTGTACGTAGACTGACAGCAACAGCAGACTGACGCAGCGGGGCAGTCGGAGGTCTGAAACCCTCTGGAGCGGTTTACATTTCTACAAAGCACACGGGAGGCTTCAGGGACACGGTTCAGCAGCACATGCAGCGCTACAGCAGGAGAGTAACACCCGGGGTCCCGATTTGTCAGAAAAAGAGCACATCCATCGCAAGGAACATGAATAAGGTCCTTTTTTGAAAATGTTTGGCCCCTCAGGGACCCGTCATCCATCAGAATACGGGACATCAAAGCATTCTTTACTGACGAGCATGTAAAAGAGGCACACATGCGATGTGTTGACTTGACTACACGCTTCCTATTAGAGTGTAAATCCTTCGTTGCTGATCTAAGAAAGAAAAACAGCAAAATAAATTGTTCCAAACATTCAGTGGCTGAAATGATGTCTAAAGCCGTAAATAATGAAATCCCATCTCACTTAATTACATTGTTGCTGTGCTGGAGAGTTATTCATGCCGGCGACAACATTCGAAACACAACTTGATCTTTTGATATGCCTAATTAATGAATTTGTTTAATATTTTCCCCCCTTTGTGTTCCTTCAGTTTTCCATTGCCGCTCTCTGGCTGATTAAATATTCATTCAGCAGCAGAAAGCTTTTTATTAGTCCTCTAATTAGAACGCAGCTCAAACTGCTCGGCTCCTTGGTTTATTTAGCAGGATTAAAGGAAGTGTTTGTGCAGTGATTGAGCCTTGACCCCCCCCATGCTAACACATCATGCCGCAGTGTATCTGCTTCATAGAATACGAGCAGCACGACTATTTTTAGACAAATGAACCACACTCGCATCATGTTGGTACATGTGCATTGGCCTCTTTACTCGACAGCGGCCGATGTCACCACGGCCGTGTGAGGTCTCTGACTCGGTTGCCATGTTGCCTTCGTCCCCTCACTTCCTCGTTTGAGCCAATCGGCGCGGCTTCTCCGGCCGGCAGAGGGTTGTGATTTGCGGTGTGTGATCCTCTCACAGGGCTTGTAAACAGCAACACACAGACGCGTGCTACACTTACGCAACACGACCCCTGCCTGCAGAATCATGAGCAATCCTACACTTAGGAGCCGAGAGAGAGGAATATGATTATGAATTTGAGTTAACACAAGTGCTTCATTCATTCAGTAGCACTCTTATGTTTCCTTCTTCTGCTTAAAACCCTCCAATAAAATGTGTTCTTCATGCTTCCTGAGATTAATATACCAACTAATAATTGAAGGCCTTCGGCTGTTAAATGAAACCCACATGGTGAAGACACGGATGCAATCACTGCTTTGTTCCATTGTCCAACAGTCTAACCACCAAATAGCTGATTTAATCCAGAGCAGCAGAGACAAAACTCACATCTGCTATCAAGAGACTGACATCTAAAGTCACATTTTTGTCCTCTGATGAACCCCTTATGTTGGTCTTGGACAGATCTACGGGGATGTTTCTCACTCGTCTGCCTCCTGGGGACGCGGCGTGGTCGTGGGCTAGCTCATTACCTCACTATTCAGGTTAATTGGGTCTTTACCAATAACAGCATGCACCATGTTGTAAGCCGTGAGATCATCTCTTCGCACGTGTACTCCGTGGAGTATGTGTCTGTCTTAAAGCAGGTGCCAGTTCGACGATCGGGGGCGTCTCGCTTTCGGTTGTGATGTAACATTCAACATTTTTGGAGAGAGGTTTGATTATAAAGTTCGAGAGCTCCAATGAGATAAAAACTAAAAAAAAAAAGTAACTTCTTCCTGGTTTTGGACTCTTAGCTGAGAAGAAAACTGCTGAGAACCAACATCTATAAAAAACAAACTTGAACTGACTGTTTTTGACTGTTTCAGATAAATGTATCACATTTCCTGCTTGACCGCACCAACTCTCACCACCTCATTAGATGATTAATGCCTTGTTATCACCCTGCAAAGATTAAAGCCACCCTGCATACGGCCAGAGGCGATGAGGCTGGACTCATCCAAGAGGGGGGGTCATTGTGGGTCTCAACCTGAGACTGCTTTACTGACCCTCCCGGAGCTCATTAACCAATCGCAGATCCTGCGCACGGAGGATGGATTGGGGCCAATGAAGGGCTTTGTCCTCCGGTGGGGACAGACGGAGAT